GCGGTGTTGTTGACAGAATATCTCTGAAGACCATTAATAAATCACTAGGACAAACTCTAGACAGAGTAGGAATATTCCTACCTAAACCCATTTCTGACATGGTCAGTTATATGTTGCTTTCTCTCAAGTTTGAAGAGCGTGTGACGTTAAAGTTGTAAATACTTCATCACAAGGGAAATTAGTCAAGCACTCTGAAAGTGTTTTTACTCTTAATGTGGTATACAGGGAGATATTAGAATAAGTTTAATCAATTTATCAGTCATTGCTTTTATCAATGTTGTTTTTATATCATGTCTGTGTTGTTATTGTTTATTTATTAATCAATTTATATATTATTTTCATATACATTTTACTAATTTTCTTTCACCTCTGACACTTCTATTATAGAGAAAGGGCGAATAGTGATATTAAAATATTTCTCCTAATTAATTTTCCTTTCAATGTGAATGAATCTGTGCACCGGGCCACTAGTCACAAAATAAAAAGACAAGCTAAGCTACTAAACGGGTGAAGATATTTGCAAATCATGTATCTAATAAAGGGTTGCTATCCAAAATATATAAAGAACTCATACAACTACAACAACAAAAAATAACCAATCCAATTAAAAAATGGGCAGAAGATCCAAATAGACATTTTTTTCAAAGAAGACATACAGATGTTCACCGGGCACATGAAAAGATGCTCAAAATCACTAGCTATCAGGGAAATACAAATCAAAACCACAATGAGATATTACCTGTTACAATAGCTATCATCAAAAAGTTAAGAAATGACAAGTGTTGATGAGGATATGGAGAAAAGGGAACCTCTGTGTACTGTTGGTAGGAATATAAATTGCTACAGCCACTATGGAAAATAGTATAGAGGGTCCTCAAAAAATTAAAAATAGAATTATCATATGATCCAGCAATTCCACTTCTGGGTATTCATCCAAAGGAAACAAAAACAGTAATTCGAACAATATAATTTACAATAGCCAAGATATGGAAACAACCTAAGTGTCCATAATAGATGAATGGATAAAGATGTGGTGTACAAACACACACAAACACATGCGCGCGCGTTATACTACTCATCCACAAAGAGAATGAATTCTTGCCATTTGCATCAACATGGATGAACCTTGAGAGTATTATGCTAAGTTAAATAAGCCAGACGGAGAAAGACAAATATTGCATGATTTCACTTATATGTAGAATCTAAAAAACAACAACAAAAAAACAAATATATACAGAGAACAGGTGGTTGCCAGAAGGGATGGGGGTTGGTGAAAATTGGTGAAGGGGGTCAAGAGGTATAAACTTTCTTATATAAAATAAATAACTCACAGGTATATAATGTACAGCGTAGGGATAGTCAATAATATTGCATTGCATACTTAAAGTTGCTAAGAAAGTGAATCTTACACATTCTCATCACAGGAAAAAAAATTGTAAATTGTATGGTGACAGGTGATAACTAGACTTATTATGGTGAACTTTCGCATTGTATACAAATATCAAATTATGTTGTATATCTGAAAATATTATATGTCAATTGTACTTCAATAAAAAGCTGTGCCAAGAAATAAATGTCTAATAGCTAAGGTATCCAAATCCCTAATCTGTACTCCATAATGGCAGGCTATGCAGTCTAGTTTCACAGACTCTTTTAATTCTCGGAATTCTCTTACCATTTTCACATTGGGCTGTTTACATTTTTCTTTAGAATCTGTTAATTATAAACTGCTTGTTCTCATCTATATCAAATTACTCAGAAATTTGTATCACATTTAATCAAATAAAGAAACCCATGCTTTCTGTCTAACAGTTATAAAACCTATGATTAGCTTGATTAGCTTGGTTCAATTGCCAAAGCAAACCTGGTTAATATTCATTTCTTAGTTCTTAAATGATTACCTAAATTTTTCCTTTCCTGATGAATGTTGGAAAATGGGTGACTGCTAAAAGCAGAAGATGCTATTTGTCACAGTAAATACTTAAGTCAGGGGGCTCTTCCACATCTCCCCTACTCTCCAAACTAAGCTCCTGGTTGTGAGCATCACTGCCTACCAGTGGTCAAGAATCAAAGCAACCAACCAACCACCAGCTCAACTCTACTCACTGACTGGCTGACTTTAAAACATTCCCGCCCTCTTCTTAGTTTCCTTGGGCAAACTTGAAGAACAAGGGGTAGGAACAGATGAAACAATTGTTGAAACCAGGGTCTGGGTACATGGCAGGTTGTTTGGGTATGATTAAAACTTTATACAACAAAAATTATTTTCTGGCTTGGCCACATGACTTTACTTGGACCCTGGACTGTTATGAAAGAGGCTTGAAATGTGCCTTTGCACTTGGGCTTATATTCTTGTGCTCAGGTGATTAACCAAAAGAAGAGCTTCTCTCCACCTGATGCTCCTTCGGCCTGAGCCCCAGAATGAACACACACAGATCTGAGCCCAACTTGAACCCTAGAGCTGAACATGCAGCCAGAAACAGAGCTATTCCAATCAATATTCACAAATCCATGGGTAAGAAAAAAATTGCTTATTTTTTTGTTGTAATGCATTTTAGGTTGATTTGTTACAAAGTATTATTGTGAGCATTTAATTTTTAGATAGTTAATTTGCCTCAAATACAACCACAACTTAAGTAGCAGACCATAATGAAATCCTGGTAGGTTTTCCTATCATGTATTTTCTGAACAATATAATCACTCCCTTACCTTCATAGTCACTTATTTCTAGTTGTCACCTTACTACAGATTCTTTTCTATTTCTTACTCATCTATTGATCTTCTCTTTTAAAAAATATAATTTACATAAAATAAATCATATTCCTATGAAGTGTACAAATGAATAAATTTTGACAGATTTATACATCTGTGAAACTGCCTTTAAAATCAAGACACAGAAAGAACATTTCTACCATTTCTGTAAGTTTCCTTGTGTTCCTTCAAAGTCACAACAAACTCTCTCTCAATCTCTAGCAACAGGCATCCAGTGATCTGTTATCTTACAACATGCTTTATTTTCTTCCTGGCTTTTCCCCCCCCTTTTTTAAAATTTTTTTTTGATTAAGGTATTACAAATGTGTCTTTATCCCCCCATTGCCCCTCATCCCCCCAGTCTTGCCCTCACCCTCACCCCCTGTTGTCTGCGTCCATCGCTTATGCTTATATGTATGCATACAAGTCCTTCGGTTGAACTCTCCCCCTTACCCCCACCGTTCCCTACCTTCCCTCTGAGGTTTGAGCATCTGATTGATGCTTCTGTCTCTAGATCTGTTTTTTGTTTAATTTTTTTTTATTGCTTAAAGTATTACAAAGAGTATTACATATGTCTCCTCTCCCCCCTACCCCCCACCCCCCGGCTTTCTGAACATCTAAACTGTGGTTTAGTTTGGTTTAATTCCAATTTAGCAAGGAACTCATGCTTGTGGAAAATATATGTAAATAATAACATGGATAAGATTCTTCTTAGTGATTCAGCGATGACATTCCAACAACAGCAGCTTCTTGACAATAACAATAGCTAGTTTAGATTAAGGATGTAGCCTGGGCAATCAGGAAGTAAAAGATGGGTCTCCCTAAAAATCATTCTGATTTACAAATCTGAAAAAGACAAAGTCTCTGACAGGGTTCTTTTCCCAAAACTCAATGTAGGAATAGAGAATTAGTGGATTTATTTTACTTTATCACACTAAAATTTGTGTGAACAAATGCAAAGCACAATATTCCACTGCCCAAGAAGTATAACAATACCTCAAAACATGAAAGTAACTCTTCTAACAATGTGCTACAGTGCCATTTAAAGAGTTGATTTGTTTCTTTTAGAAAAAGAAAAGCTGGTGCCTCATACGTAACTATTGTGATTAACTAAAAAAAATGCATATTCATCTACAACAGTGGATGAAGCCCAGGGTTCTGCACCCTGAAAGTGAAATCCCCAAATTTTTCAATATTCAAAACTAATACATAAAATCAATCGCTTCACAGCCTTTTGGCTAAAATCAAGTGTAGTATAAAATCAAATGTCTGATTAGGTTTGACCCAAGTTTGTGCCTATTGTATTTTTCTTTTTATATATAAATATGTCTTATCTCGGCTCAGAGATCTATTATCCTGACATTTCAGATGAGAGCTACTGATATCTTCCCTAGAACTAGAAATCATTTTATTCTGCTGATCCCTAATACTGTAAATATGTAATGGTTGTATTCATTGTGGTTTAACTTCAATCTTAAAAAGCAGGAATAAACAAAGGACCTAAAACCACGCCTTCTAAGGTCCTTTACTAAAGCTCTGATCTGTATACTCAACTAAAGCTGTGAACATTTCTGACACAGCCCTATAGACTTACTGGAGAGTGAGTGTAAAGAATGTTGCCAGGCAACTCATCTAAGTTTGGAAGAATCTAAGCATTGATAATGACTCTGTCTCAGTTTGGCTCCCACACAAGAAGGGTTTTAGTGAACTCCCACATGTATTTACAGGCCATTCATGAGAAGAGATATTTCTAAAAGTGTGTGTCCAGGAGTCCAAATCAGGAACCTATAATGTTTCTTTTCTAATTCAAGTTTATGTCACAACTATTTTCTATACTGTCTAGAAATCTAATAGGCATTAGGCAAAATAGGCCACATGTAGAGGGCTAGTGTTGAATGAACATTTTTTATTCATATCTCTATCATTCCTATTTGCACATGGCCAAAGCAACATTTCTTCAAGTATCCCATATCATAAAAATCACCCTGAAAACCAATTATTACCACAATTATTTAAATTATTTTGAAAATTATCTTTAAAATTTTTTTCAATACTTACTCTCATTAATATCAACAGTCAAAAGGATGTTCAGTAAAAACTATGTTCTAATAAGGACAATATGCAATTAGTTGTGAAAGAGGTAATGGATATGTTTTTATAGATGGTATACTTGCAGAATACTGCTCTGCAGGATGGGTCTAATCCAAAAACCTCCCTCTTTAAAGCAGACACTTTGCATGCATGCTTACCAGGGCAGTATGCATCCACATCCAGTTTCTGAGCTGAAGTGAGGGTTGGGGAGCCAAGCTCGGATTCTGGAATTCGTGGGCTCTCAACAAACTTTGCTTTCCTCAGAGGGGCTAAGGACAAAAAAAGAGACAAAGAGAGAGGGAGAGGAAAAAGGGGGGTGGATAGAAAGGAAGGAAGGAAGGAAGAAAGAAAGAAAAAGGAAAGAGAAACACAGGGAAAGAGAAGGGAAAGAGAAACATAGAGGGGTCATGAGTAAGGGGAACAGCAGGCAACAGATGGAAGCACTTAAATGAACGACACACTCTGTCAGACTCAGATCAGGTTACCCTATTTTTTGTGCCAGAAAAAAAAGATTGCATTCTTCATAGAGGAGATGGGTCTTGTTAAAAAATCACTGCAAACTGGAAAAGCTAAAATCTAATAATCAAAACTATGAGCAGAAGTTGTAACTTGTAACTGTTTATAATCTTTAGCTGTTTTCTTTATAAAGTCAAGAGCTTTCTTATTTTGTCTTTCATTGTCATTATATACAGGTATTAACTGAGGAAAGTATAGGACTAAGTTCTAGGACTTTGTTTGCAATAATTGTAATCAAAGGTTTTCTTTATCCACAAATATCTATTATAATACTCAGCTGTGATAAATACCATAAGAAGGATTAATCTACCTCACTAAACAAGGAAATCAATCCCCTGACTGTTCAGCTATTGGCATAAGAAGTCAAAACTGCTAGTTGACTAAGATATTAACTAGGCCACACTAGTTTGATACTGGATGCTAAACAGATAGGATTTAATTACAAATATAATCATGTGGTCTATGGAACAGTAATTTCCTTGCCATGGAATCCATTCATTCTTGTAAAGAATGAAATATAAAATATAATTCACAAATTGAAAGCTTTACTTATTGAAAGCTCATATAAATTTTACTTACTAATTAAAATTAAAAATATGAAGATTGCTTTGGTACTTTCAAACTGAGTTCTATTAAATAAACTACAATAGATTGAAAGTGTTTAGCATAGTATCAATTAAATCTGAAATTGATTTGTATGCATTATAAATTAGTGTCATAACTATAGGTGTCTAAGACATTGAGTGCCTAAGATCACACTACTTTTTTCAAGTTTCTGCCTATTCTTCAAAATCCTCATCCATTACTCCATTACTGATCCATAAGGGATTGATTCTAAGCTATTCCTAAAATATCCTGTAAAAAGTACTATAAAACTTTGTCATTATAATGGCCAGAATTTTTCTCTATTTTCTCTTAGAGGATAAAAATAGTAAAGTATTAAAAAATACTTTTGAAATGTGCCAGTACTCAAAACCTACAGACAACTAATTCACACTTTAAATCCTAGAGTGTGTATGTACTAGTACATTTTGAGCTTCTATTTAAAAACCAAAATAAAGCCAGTTACTATCTACATGGCAACAAAGGCTAAGGGTGCTAACGGTATGGTTTTCCACTAAAAGTAAGCTTTGAAATAACAGAACTCTCACCTCTGCTAAAAGTGTAATACTTGAACCTATTTTTTAAAACCATGATTACAAATGAAGATCAGAATTGATGTATATGCATGTCTACAGGCTTCTAATAGCCAATATTAGAATCTTTTTTCATGATCTCACCAATCAATTAAAAAATAATGAAGCGATTTATTTATCCAATATTGTTTAGTATAGAGGAAATTATTGTAAGTTAATTCTGAAAGCTCTTAGGTCCTTTCGAGAATTTTATTAATATATTGTCATGGCAACAGCATAACTATTTTACCTGCTGAGTTCTGACAAGGACAGCACTGGTCCCTGCTCAAGGGACTCTATATATCTAAAAATCTTATAATAATTTTCATAATGAAATTTGGGACTAGCATACAGAAATTAGCAACTTAGGTTAGATATGTAAGAAAGAAATTCAAGGAGGAAAAGAGAAGCTGAGGGAGACCTGAGCAATGTACAGGAATTAAGATGGAGCCAAGGAGGAAAATCAGGATCATAAAGATCTGTGAAGCTTAACGCCTTACAGAGTTCTGTTTTCCCTTCTCAGAGAATTCCAACGGAGGTTATCTTTAGCTCATAGCAGACATTTAATTTTTTTTTCCTGCCTTCATCTCTCCTTCATCCATGCTATACATGCCCAATAATGAATCGGAATTATTTTGTAAGGTCGCTTATAATGTTCTCTGATCTAAGTTATAGAAAACTAGTATCATCTGTAAGTCAATCAAACACAGGCGGTATAATCAACAGCATGACAGGTTGTCCAATAAGTCTTAAACACTGCTTGGTGGAGAACATAAAAGGCCAACTTGGAAGATGGGAATAATATTTTGCCTAGAATTTTAGTATACTTATTTATTAAAAAAATGGCATATAAGATGATTCATTCAGATAGGTAAGAGAATACATGTCAAAAGGGTTTATCAGTAGTAAAACAAAGAAAAAAAGAAAAATGAAGTGGTTGAATTGAAATGGGTAGGAAGAATCTAAAACCAAACAGGGATTTTATTGTGATGTAAGAGATAACAGGAAAGTAGGGCTCTGAGAAGTGATCTGAACCAATACTGGGAACATGATTCTTATGCTGGAAGAGACTTGAGTTTGGGAATCTGGTAGAGATTGACAGGAAGGATACATATTGGTTCGGAATATGGGCTTAGTCATTTCAAAGATTTAGGTCTTGGCTCTAGTACTTATTAGTAGTAACAAAATGAGCAAGTTAACTTAGCCGAATATGCATCATCAAAAATTAGGATCAGTTTAAATTTATTTTTTCATTCAAATATAATGATACTTATAATGCTTTATAGATTAATTATATCTGTAAATAAAAACAAATGTAATGCTTTCGATTACAGTGCCTAGAATAGTGTCTGGCATATGGTAACTAGTTAATAATTATTTGCTAAATGAATAGAAACAGTAGAAAAATCAAAGCAAAGACAGGGGTTACAAATAGAGTTTTAATAAAACAAATGTTTTAAAAAGCACTCATGGTGTTCGCTTTGGCAGCATATATACTGTACTAAAATTGGAATGATACAGAGAAGATTAGCATGGCCCTTGCACAAGAATGACAAACAAATTCATAAAAAGCATTCATGGATAACATAAAGGTTAATCACACTTATAAATACCCTCACTAACTTAGACTTTCATAAGCAAACATTATATAAATCACCATTATTATAATCAGACTATGATAATTTAATTTCTAGCTTTAATGACTCGATTATTTCCATAAAAAGTTTCCGACAAAATATGCTAATGAGGATATAGTTGAGTTAAAAACGAAACACTAGAAAAGACACTTTTGCTGTATCCAAGAACATCCACATTCAGCAATATTTGAAGGATGCAGTAACAAAGGAAGTCAACATCTCTTTATTCTTGACTTTCCCTAGGAAGGCTAGGCAGCTGCTTTCTGACCCTCAACAGCATAAAGTCACTAGTGGATCAGTCGGATCCTTTTGAGCCTTTTTAAAGCTTTGCTTAGGCAGGTGTGGGGTAACTTTTTACTCTAAGGCTGGTTGAGCTCTGCTACAAAAATGTGTCCTTTCTTGGATTTCTATTGAATGTTCTTGATAAGTGGTTCTCAACCTTCCTAATGCCACGACCCTTTAATACAGTTCCTCATGTTGTGGTGACACACAACCATAAAATTATTTTCGTTGCTACTTCGTAACTGTAATTTTGCTACTGTTATGAATCGTAATGTAAGTATCTGATATGCAGGATGTATTTAGGCGACCCCTGTGAAAGGGTCGTTCGACCCCCAAAGGGGTCACGACCCACAGGCTGAGAACCGCTGTTTCTGATGCTTTTAATAAGATCTCTACACACTCTGGCTGGTCAGAATGGAATAACAAACAAACAAACAAAACAAAACAAAAAAACACCTCCTGTTCCTGTGGGAACTCTAGAAATTGTTCAGTTTAGAGCAGCGGTTCTCAACCTGTGGGTCGCGACCCCTTTGGGGGTCGAAGGACCCTTTCACAGGGGTCACCTAAGACCATCGGAAAACACATATATAATTACATATTATTTTTGTGATTAATCACTGTGCTTTAATTATGTTCAATTTGTAACAATGAAAATACATCCTGCATATCAGATATTTACATTACGATTCATAACAGTAGCAAAATTACAGTTATGAAGTAGCAACAAAAATAATTTTATGGTTGGGAGTCACCACAACCTGAGGAACTGTATTAAAGGGTTGAGGCATTAGGAAGATTGAGAACCACTGGTTTAGAGTTATCTAGACTCATGGAGTCCCACCCCACCTATGTGCAACTCATTATTAAGTTAAAGGCTATATGGATAATTTTGTAGTTCTCTTTCTGCTTAGCTCTCTATTTTTCAGTACTCTGTAAATTTCAGTTGCCTTGGTTTCACCAATTTCTGATCTCTGTTTTCTCAGTTCAACAAGACTGTCACTCTCTGAGTTTCCCACCATCAGGAGAACACTTTTAGGCAAAAAGCCAGAGTTGACCTAGTTTACTCCTCTAGTTTTCTCTCAGGGATCATATCACCATACTGTCAAATGTCGTTTCTGAAAACGGTTGTTTCTAGTGGGAGAGCAAATCCAATACTGTTCACTCCATTACAGTGGGAAGAAGAGGTATCTCGTGGTGTTTTAATTTGTCTTTTCCAGATGTGGCTGACAAAAGGCAGAAGAACCTTCGTCTTATATATTGCGGTAGCCTTAGTGTGGACCACAGAGCAAGTACTATTATTTGTTAAATGAATTAACTATTTGTTTATCTATATATTTTCGGAAGCAACAAACCACCTCTTTATGTCTTTCATACATTTAGTGATTAAGGCCTAACAAAATTGGTGATTCAAAGTCATATCCAAGGTAACTCAAGAGTAAGTCTGTTCCTCCCACAGAAGTTCTATTTTCATGCAATTATACACAAAGGATATACTAGACACATTTATATAAAGACAAACCATACAAGCAATAAATGTGGAGACCAACATAGTGCTCCAAAGAAAGAGTTACTGCAAAAAATTATTGTAGTAACTTTTACGACATTCCTACAAGACAACTTCAGTGGCATTTTGAATAAACTAAATAGAAGTTTTTTCATTTCATGAAACCGGTATTTAAATCTTTGTTTACCTACACATGCTAATACAAAGAAAAAGGCAAATTACTGTAGCATACAACTCATTGTTTTCATGTCATCTCTTTATAGTATTGAATGGCAAAACTCAGGGTATATGAGATAAAATGATAAAATAAAGCAGTATAGATTTCAATTACCTACTTTAATATCTTTGCCAATACAAATCAATAATCTGAGATCAGAAAAGCCTTTTAAATATGCTAATGATACTCCAATGACAATTAGTTTAATGGTATTAGGTTTCATTTCCACATATCTGAAGCAGCACTAGGTTTTTAATAATATAAAAGGAGTTTAACATTGTGGGTATGTTGGCTTATGCGATTATTGGTTTACTGATATGAGCAATTGTATATATTTGTCAGGCCAACTTCTGAGTTTAAAGTACTAGTAGCTATGTAATATAACTACATTTAAATTTAAAATACTACATAAACATATCATCATAGAAATTGAAAATATAAGAAACAAGTATAATGCAATTAAAAATTATCAGAACCCTACATACCTCTGTTAAAGTGTCAGAGCATATGATCTTTCCTATATTTCATATAAAATATTATTGCCAATAAAAGCAGTTAAATGACTAATGACTTGTCTTTTCAATATACGGCTTTTGAAAGGAATACTTAGCCCTAAAGGTAGCAAGTGAATTCACTGAGCAACATTTTACATGTAGAGTTGTATCTCTAATATGAAAGTGAACATTAGCCACAGTTTTTTCCTCATTAAATAACTCTCACCTCTTCAAAATACGAAATGTCTCAAATTTTATATATGTAACATATAAATAGATAACATATTTACGTATGTAACTTATGCAATAATATGGAGCATACATGTGGTATGACTGTAAGGAATGAGGCTAGCTGTACTTGTAAATGTTCTAAAAATTAGCTGTCCAACTGATGTAGCTCAGTGGTTGAGCACTGACCTATGATCCAGGAGGTCATGATTTGATTCCCAGTCAGGGCACATGCCCAGGTTGTGGCCTTGATCCCCATTGGGGGACATGCAGGAGGCAACCAATTGATGATTCTCTCTCATTTTTGATGTTTCTATCTCTCTCTCTCTCCCCTCCTCTCTGAAATCAATACAAATATTTTAAAATAAAAATCCTATATAATAAAAAGGTAATATGCAAATTGACCCTAATGGCAGAACAACCCAGAACGACCCATAGCTATGATGTGCACTGACCACCAGGGGGCAGACACTCAACGTAGGAGCTGCCCCCTGGTGGTCAGTGCATTCCCACAAGGGGAGCTCCACTAAGCCACAAGCTGGGCTGACCTCTCCCGCCTCCTCAGCAGCGCCAAGGATGTCCGACTATGGCTTAGGCCCACTCCCCATATGGGGAGCGGGTGAGCGGGCCTAAGCCGGCTGGTGGACATCCCCCGAGGGCTCCTGGGCTGCCAGAGGGATGTCTGACTGCCAGCTTAGGCCCGATCCCCCCAGGGAGAGGGCCTAAGCTGGCAGATGGACATCCCCCAAGGGGTCCTGTACTATGAGAGGGTGCAGGCCAGGCTGAGGGACCCTCCCCACCCCCCTGAGTGCACGAATTTTCACGCACTGGGCCTCTACTCAGTCAATATATCCTCATCTCAAATTAAAGGAAAAAATATATTTTCTCTAGCACCTTTAAACAGAAATATCTACAATTCATATCTTCTCATCAGACACCTATGAGAATGTAGCGGGAAAATCTCTATATATAAAAGGCTAATATGCAAAGTGTCCCTCGGGAGTTAGACTGGGAGACCGCGAGTTCAAACGCTCGCTATGACGTGCACTGACCACCAGGGGGAGGCACGAAACCAAGGAAGGTCCCGGCCGGCAGCCAAGGAAGGAAGGCCCTGGCCAGCAGCCGGAAGGCCCCGAGACCCTAGCCATGCATGAATTTTGTGCAATGGGCTTCTAGTAGTAGAACAAAGAAATGAAGATCATGATGAAAAGAAAGGGCTTTAAAGTGAGACTTGTGCTACATGGCCTATATAATGTGGTCTTCAAAAAATTATTCAATTTTTCCAAGTTTGGATTCTGCATCTTTAAAATGTGAGCCATATATCCTTCTTAGAGTTGTTATGAGGATTAAATTTAAAGAGCAAAGTGTAGATAAGGCTAAAAAAAGATACTGTATTAATATTTCTTATTGTTTGGAAAAAGGCAGCTGAAGCACAATGTGCTATTGAAGGCTATAGAGTGAGCTCCCCCTGGAATCACAAACTAAAATAGAGACCTTGGAGCCCTCGCTGGTTTGGCTCAATGGATAGAGTGTCAGCCTGCAGACTGAAGGGTCCCAAGTTAGATTCTGGTCAAGGACACATACCTGGGTTGCGGGCTTGATCCCCAGTAGGGGGTGTGCAGGAGGCAGCCGATCAATGATTCTCTCTCATCATTTATGTTTCCCTCTCTCTCTCTCTTCTTCTCTGAAATCATAGAAATATATTTTAAAATAAAATAAAATAGGGACCTTGGATTTGTGGATCAACCATAATATACACAGTAAGATGTTCTATACATCTCTAAACTAAGTAAGTCTATGTAATCATAACAATACTATGCCACTTATCTCCCAAGGTTATTGTAACGACTGAAATGAACTCATCTTTGTAAAAAAATTAGCATAGTGCCTTGTATATAAAATATACTCAATACTAGATATTGTTGTTTTTGGTAAATGATAATGATTATATGATAGGTAATAGAAAAACATGGACATGTACAAACTAAATTTTAAGATGCTAATAAAAATATTTGGCATCAAGAGCAGATGATTTATGACAGCAATCTGCAAGAAGTAATCTACTCACATGTCTTGCCTCAGTTCTATCTCCCTATACCTTATACCCAAAAGGATAGCTGTTATTTAATAGATGAAGTTATTTTCTTTAGAAGGATATGTATTACTAGAGGCCTGATGCATGAAGATTTGTGCAAGAATGGGCCTTCCTTCCCCTGGCTGCT